TATATATATACACACAGGTTTATCTGGAGTGTGGTTCTAGCCTCGTCACTACCTCACCGGGGTTAGGCCAGACACTTACCAGTACATAGGGTCGCTTGTGCTGATGCTACACTCTGCACTTATGTGTAGATACCGGAGCAGATTTGGGAGTGCAGCAGTAGTCAGGGAGCCATCCTTCAGTCCACGAGACTCCGAGGTAGCCTTACTGGCGTCCACAGGCCCGGTGTCTCTTCTATCAGTTTTCATGTTCTATTGATATTTGTATTCGAGACAGACTATGTCCTTTATTTCAAACTCTTATTTGTAGTAATCCTAGATAGTCCGTATTTGTTGTGACACCGAGTGCTGGGTAGAGACTTGTAATAGTTTACTAGACGTTGTTTCAATATTTAGTTCAGACTTCGCTAAATTTTATTTTTTGCTGTGTTTTAATCGCTTATTCATAAATAATTTAATCGTTTAATCATGTATAACAACGAGATGGGTTAATAATTGAAAGGTTCTTGGCTTGCCTAGCTTCCATGAGTAGGCGTCATCACAACTCCCGATGGTGGTAATTCCCGGTCGTGACATAATGTGAACCTACTCGAGGCCTCAAATCATACATAACAACATCAGAATGACGACTCACACCCCAATTCAATCTTAATGAACTATTTCAAAGTTTTAAATTTCAAACATACGTCGAACATGTCAAATCAACTCGCGAGCACCTCAAATTTTGCACACAAGTTTCAAATGATATAACAGATCTATTTTAACTCCTAGAACCAAAATCCCAGCACGATAACATCGAAGTTAACTCCTCATCAAACCTATGAAATTCCAAACTTCAAATTGTCAATTTTTGCCAATTGGTGCCAAAACCTTCTAGAAATGTCCAAATGCAAATTCAGGCATACGTCCAAGTCCAAAATCACCATTCAACCCTAACTGAACCATCAAAACTTCTATCCGATGTCAAATTCACAAAAGTCAAACTTGGTCAACTCTTCCAATTTAAAACTTTCAAATTGAGAATCATTTTGCCAATCAATCCCGGAACACTCAAAAACCAAAACCGACAATCACAATACACCATAGGAAACTAGTCATAACCTCATACCACTGAATCGAAAGCAAATATTCAGAATGACCGGTTAGGTAGTCACAAAAATACACTCAGAGAACTAATTAGAAGGAGATGTGAGATTCCTTTTATATACTTATTCTTTGTGAAAATATTTACTCTTAGTTCCATATTATTCACATTACTCAGTCTATCACCACCTTCAAAATAAAGAAAATGAGAGATCAGTGGGACAAAATTGTTATGAAAAACGGAAGTTAACAAATATCAAAACTATTGCTCCTGAATATTATCCTCCGTCTAAATATCTTCTGAAATGGCTCGACTATAAGGGGACCGTTACAAATAAGAGCAAACTTGAGCCGAAAGGTTAACTTCGGGGTTATTTTTTGCCCACGGAGGCCAATATTGTACCAAATTCTATAGTTTAGGGACATTTTAGGTCATTCTCTGTTATTTTTATCATATATATAACTCTCAAAATTTTTTCTTCCTTGCAAGCTGAAGTGTGAGTTCCACGCGCATACTTCAAGTTAGGTGTTCACTTTCGGGGAATTTCATCTTTGGATATCAAAATTAAGAATATGAAATAATCTTGTCCACTATCGGAAATTTTGCTTTCGGAGCTCCATCAGCATGCTTGAATCAATTAATTTCAATACCTAACAATATACCAATGCGTTTGAAAAAAAAAAATACCAATGCGTAAGAAAAGCCAGACGAAATAACAATTGGAAATTGAATTGGAAAACTACAGGATGAGAGGATCATAATTCCTCCCACACTTTCCCTTAGCCTATCTAAACGTTTCAGAAACATAGGGGGAAAACCAATCAAAATTTTTAAACATACAAAAAGATAGGAGGGGGAGGGGGAGGTAAAGAAAAAAAGAGAATAATTATTATGATTTGGTAGGCATCGAGCCTAGTCCAATTGAGCCTATTGTAGTATCGAGCTGAGTCGTGCTAAAATATCGAGCCGGAGACGAGTTCGAGACGACGAGTTCAAGACGAGAGCTCGTGTAGGCTCCTTTTGATTTGTTTCGACATACCGAGCAATGCATTTAACTTAGGGGGTTTCCATTTATACATCAACTAAATTTATGAAAACTTAAATTAAAAATTAAACTTAGAGTAAAATTTTATTTGAGTTGGTCGTTCTGTGAAGAATTAAACTAACTTCATAAACATAAATATGATATAAGGCTTATATTCATGATAAATTGATTGATAATGGAAAATTTAATAATCAATAGTTTAAACTGACGTTTGGTTTCAAATGCGATTGAATTAAATGTATTATTATTTGTATTCATAAAAAAAAAATTGAATTCTTTTACAGATTAATAAATTAATATTTTAAATTTTACGTTGATATCCAATTTTGATAAGAAATGAGTCCATATAATGAATTTTATTTTCGTAATAACAAACTGCATGATCAATTGAAAGGGAGCCTTGCGTAACAAGTAAAGTTACTGTCTTGTGATCATGAGGTCACGGGGTCAAGCCGTGGAAACAAGCTCTTGCAGGAATGCAGGTAATGCTGCCCACAATAGACACTTGTAGTCCAGCTACACATAGCGAGAGTTTAGTGTATCGTGCTGCCCTTTTAAAACTGCATGATCAATTGAGTCAATCGAGCCCGGCTACCAAACCAAACCGCCCCTATATAAGGATCGCATATTCAATAGTTCTTTTAACAAACTAACCCTCTCTTTCATTTCTAAATGCAGTTCTTCAACTTAATTTCCATTTTTCTGTTTGTATCTTCTCTCTTGTTGTTTAGGAGATGGAAGAAATCAAATAGCAAAAGATTGCCTCCAGGTCCAAGGAAAGTGCCTTTTTTTGGAAGCCTGTTTCATATGCTAGGTGGACATCCACACCATATCCTAAGAAATTTAGCCAAAAAATATGGACCACTTATGCACCTTCAATTAGGAGAAATGTCCGTAGTTGTAGTTACTTCTCCAGAGATGGCGAAAGAAGTACTAAAAACTCATGATCTTGCTTTTGCATCTAGGCCTAAACTTGTAGCCGTTGAGAGTACTATCGGCTATAACGAGACAGGAATTGGCTTTTCTCCCTATGGTAATTATTGGAGACAAATGCGTAAAATTTGTATCTCGAAATTGCTTAGTGCAAAAAATAACCGATCGTTCAACTCAATTAAACGTGATGAAATTTGTAGTCTCATTGAATTTTTTCGATCATCCTCCGGTGAGCCAGTTAATATAACAAAAGGATATATTTATTCGCAAGCTCTGTGATATCAAGATCAGCATTTGGAAAAGTAATCAAAGAGCAGGACGAATGTATACAACTATTCAAAGAAGCTTCAAAATTAGTAGGAGGGTTTGATGTGGCCGACATATTTCCTTCATTAAAGTTTCTTCATTAATAGCAAGTCTGACTTCTGATTTTATTTTCATAATGAAATTTTCACATTAAAAAGTTTACCACCACAACTTAGTATTTCGAGGGTAATGAAATAATAGCAAAAAAAATCATAATAGAATATAATTTTGTCCTTGAAGTTAATTTTTTTTTTAATATTCCAGTAGACGTTGATGAAAAGATTGTAAAGATAAATAGCTAGCATTCTTGACGTATATCAAACTTGCTAAAAGAAGCAGGATTTATTTGTTGCTGGAACAGAAACTTCATCATCAGTAGTTACTTGGGCCATGGTAGAAATGATGAAGAATCCAAGTATACTGCTCAAGCTGAGGTAAGAGATGCCTTTTGAGGTAAAGAAACTTTTGATGAACATGATGTAGAGGAATTAAAATATCTAAAGTTAATCATTAAAGAAACTTTTAGACTACATCCTCCACTTCCACTGTTGATCCCAAGAGAATGTAGGGAAGAAACAAATATAAACGGCTATATTATTCCATTAAAAACCGTAGTCATGGTTAATGTTTGGGCAATGGGAAGAGATCCAAAGTATTGGGTTGACGCAGAAAGATTTATGCCCGAGAGATTTCAGCATAACACTGTGGATTTGGTTGGTAACAATTTTGAATATCTTCCCTTTGGTAGTGGAAGAAGGATTTGCCCCGGGATATCATTTGATTTAGGTAATGTTTATTTGCTACTGGCCAAATTATTGTACCACTTTGATTGGAATCTCCCTACAGGAATCAATCCAAGTGATTTGGACATAGCTGAAGCAGCTGGATTAGCTGTTATTAGAAAGAGTGCTCTTCGTTTGATTGCTACTCCTTTTACCCCTTCACCAGAGTAATATTTGGTGGAATTAGTCATGTTTTAAACTAATATTTTCTTCATATATACATCTCACTCTCACTGCTCTTCGTTCTTTCCTATTGTGCTTTTGTTTTTGCCTATTTATGATGCATGTCTTATCTATAGCAAATGCATATCATTACAGTTTTACGTAGGGATTTTAAAACAAATATGTTCTGTTAAATTTCGTTATGTAACGAGTGAGGGTTGTAGTATACTTTAAGGGTTGTAGTATACTTTATGTACTTACATCCCCTTATAAGGAAAATAAATAAATATATTGTTATATTCTATTATGTTCATCATCTCAATCCCCAAATTTTCTTGCTAAGATGTATTTCACAAGTTAAAACAGATTTGAAAAGTGTATTTATATTCCTTTAGGGCCAAATACATGAACTTCCCCTCAAATTTAGCACCAATTTTCATTTGAACACTCTATCTTATGCTTGTTCTAGTTTAATATTGTCACGACCCCAATTTTCCTTTGAAGGATGTCGTGATAGCACCTAGTCTCTACGACTAGGTAAGCCTAACAAATAGCAATACCTAAATAGATATATAATAAAACGTTGCTTAAAATGACTGAATAATAGATAAAACCTCCTAAAAACAGAATCTCACAAATATACACCCCAAAATCGGTGGAACTCAGTCATCAGCTCTATAGAATGCAACTAGAGTACTACTACATTACCGTATGAAAGGAAATACAACAATAATGAAAATAAGGTGAGGTGACTCCGAGGCTTGCGGATGCTGAGAAGGCACACCTTGAAGTCTCCGGTAAAAGCAGCTAGCAGAAAATCTTTATCGACCGGCATGAGCAGATGTACCTGGATCGGCATAAAAAGATGTGCAGGAGCATAGTATTAGTACACCACAACAGTACCTAGTAAGTATCAAGCTTAACCTCAGTAAAGTAGTGTCAAGTCCAGTTCAAGACACCTAGTAGGGTATGAAATAGACAACACAAAAAATGTAATACAAATAAGTAACGGAAAGTGAAGAATAACTGATACGGAACAAGATAATAGCAATAATTAGTACCAGAGGTTTACAATAGAAACAATATTAAAGAAGAAACTAAAGTGCTACAATGACCATGTACAGATAACAACTGCTAGAATAATAAAGAATGAAGTAACACGAAATATTCCTTCCACAACACTTTGCGACATAAGACATACAACAAGAAACACAAGGAGGTATCGCCTCGTGTATAATGAAATCAAATTGAGGTACCGCCTCATATAATCAAGAATCAAAACCGAGGTACCGCCTAGTATTCATATTTCTAAATTTCAATCACAATCATTCCTTATACCACCATTTGAGCCTTACATCCGAAATTAGGTTTTAAAAACAGTTTTTCAGAAATGGCACACGCACTTTATCCTACCTTATGACGCGGCTTGGCATCATGTAATTCTCCTACAAGCAATCACGCACATAAGTCCCACCTTATACCGTCACATGCACATCAACCCAAGCCTTTTACCATGGCATGTGCATCAATATTATATCACAGTAACAAATCGCACCACAAGTGCCTATATATCACAACTTGCCAACAACAACAATATTAGTGTCTCCAAAATAATAGCTCATGGCTCCACCACAACGTATGCAAGAATATCAACAATCATAAAGGATGGAAAGTGCTCAATAAGATAGATGTTTCAACAATAACGGACATCGCCTCAGCGTATTAATTACTCTCACAACTTCAATACCAAATAACTGAACAATGAGAAAATAATGTATAACCACGATATTAGATAAAACTAACTTAAAACAAAGCAAATAATATTCAACAGTGAGTCTCAAATAATGGAATCAACAAGTAATGGGGTAATATGAACAATTAATTCAAATAATGATAATTAATAATAAAGAGATGACATTTAATAATGAAGGGGACAACAAGTTCAACTAAATCATGTGAGCAATTTAGTAAGTAGGATGTAGAACAAATACCAAACAAGTCAAGTAAGGCATCTAAGGATAATCTAACGCAATTAAGGATAATTTGATTATGATAATTTAGAACATTATATAATATTTCAATTAAAGCATGAAAATAGTTTAAGTAGCCTAAACCGGTCTAGTACTATGTACAACCAGTATTACCACTTGTCACCTTGCGTACACGGATTTCACTTAGCACAATTATATCAAACAATACCAATTCTAAGGGGTAGTTCCCCCCACATGAAGTTAGACAAGACACTTACCTCAGCTAGGCACATTCAACACCCGAAAATAGCTTTTCCATTCAAATCTGCCTCCACACGGCTCAAATCTAACAAAAATTAACTTAATATCATCACAAAATCCTACGGAATCAATTGCAATAGATAAAGTTAAGATTTTTATATTTTTTCCAAAAAGTCAACAAATGGTAGATTCCTTCTACCCATGACCCCACGAGTTCATATCTATGGTTAGTCTCAAAATTTGAGTTCAAATAGACTCTCAAAACTCAGTTTCTTAATTCAAGTTCAAATAGACTCTCAAAACTCAGTTTCTTACTTTTGCAAAACATGACAGTTTCATAAATTTCTACTTTGATTCGCATGATTTTGAGTTAAAATCTAAGATAAATTGATGGAATATTATTAAAAATAGATTAGAATTGCTTAGCCAATGTTTGTAGGTGAAAATTCCCTTTCCAAATTGCCTCCTATCAAGTCTAGATTTCTAAAATGAGATAATGTATCGAAAATCATGTCTCCCAGCTATTTGATAAGTTGTAGATGTCACAGTTGCAAACCCTCGCAATTGCGGCGTTGAAGGCTTAGGGAAACTCTTTGCAAATGCGAATTTGAGACCCCTGTTGCCCTCGAAATTGCGACAAGATCATTGCAATTGCGATCCTATTCCATCCTAGAAGACCTTCGCAAATGCGAATAGTAGGTTCGCAATTGCGAACACAACAGACTTGGCCTATCTTCACATTTGCGATCAAGAATCTCGCAATTGCAAGATCTGAGGCCTGTGTAGAAAATAAGCAATTCAATTCTAACAACACTCCGCTAAGCGTCCGAAACTCACTCAAGGCCTTGGGTATCTAAACCAAGTATCAATACAAGTATAAAAACATCATACAAACTCGCTCGCGCGGTCAAGAAACAAAAATAACATCTAAAACTCTAAAATGCATAATTTTCAAAGTGATTTTCAAGAACTTCTAAAATTTCAGCTAAGTTCTAAATGCCATAATGGACCTATTATATGTCCCAAAATCATATTCCAAGCTCAGAAGCTAAAAGTCAACCTACGGTCAAACTTTTAAACTTAAAATTGCCGAATTTCGACAAATCGACACAAATTAACCTACGGACTTCCAAAATAAATTACGGGCATACTCCCTAGTCCGAAATCATGATACGAATCTATCTCAGTCATAAAAACACAATTCTGGGGTTGTTTTAACAAAAGTCAAAGTTTGGTCAATATTTTCAAATTTAAACTTCTAAGTCTAGAATTAAGGGTCTAAACCAACTCGAAAGCTTCCCAAAACGAAACTATTCAACCCCACAAGTCATAAAGACATAAGCACAGAAGTGTGAAATAATAAAAGGGGTAACGTAGCGCAATTACACAAAACAACCGATAGGATCATTACATTCTCCCCTTCTTAAAACAAGTGTTCGTCCTCGAACGTGCATAAGGACATACCTAAAGTGGTGAATAGATGAGGATGACCACTCCGCATACCGTGCTTAGTCTCCCAGCTAGCCTCCTCGACTGGATGACTGCTCCATTGATCCTTCACTGAAGCAATATCCTTTTCTAGACCTTCCGATCCAAGATAGACACGGGCTCCTCAATGTAAGTCAAATCCTTGTTCGACCGGACTGTGCTGAAGTCTAGAACATGAGATGGATCACCATAATACTTCTGAAGTATAAGTACATGGAACAGCGGATGAAGCGCAAATAAACTAGGTGGCAAGGCAAGATCGTAAGACACTTCTCAAAGATCTCAAAAAGGTCCGATATACCTAGGGCTCAACCCGCCCTTCTTCCCGAACCTCATCACACCCTTCATTGGTGAAACACAGAGCAAGACTCGCTCTCTAACAGTGAATAAAACATCGCGAACCTTCCGATTTGCATAACTCTTCTATCTCGATTGGGTTTTAGGAAGCCGATCTTGGATCATCTTGACCTTCTCCAAAGCATCTCGAACTAGATCTGTGCCTAATAACTTAATATGTCCCAGCTCAAACAACCCAACTAGAGAACATCATTGTCTCCCATATAGAGCCTCATATGGAGCCATTTGGATATTCAATTGGTAGCTGTTGTTGTAGGAATACTCCACAAGTAACATAACTGATCCCAAGCGCCTCCGAAATCCATAACACATGCATGAAACATGTCTTCCAATATCTGAATTGTGCACTCGGACTATCCGTACGTCTAAGGATGAAATGCCGGACCCAACTCAACCCTAGGTCACGTTGTACAACCTTATAGAATCGCAAGGTGAACTTCATACCCGAGTTAGAGATAATAGATATCGGTATGCCATGAAGTCGAACAATCTCACGGATATAAACCTAAGCCAGATGCTATGAATAATAGGTAATCACTACTAGAATGAAATGAGCCGACTTGGTCAACCTGTCCACAATCGCCCATACTACATCAAACTTTTTCTGAGTCCGTGGGATCCCAACAATGAAATCCATGGTGATGCGCTCCCATTTTCACTCAGGAATGCCAAGCCGCTGAAGAAAACCACCCTGTATCTAATTCTCATAGTTCACATGCTGACAATTTAGGAACCAAGCTACATTCTCCACTATGTCCTTCCTCACCTTTTTCACCAACAGTGCTGCCTCAAGTCTTGATACATCTTAGCGGCACAAGGATGAATAGAGTACCGAGAACTATGGGCCTCCTGAAAAATCAACTCATGCAAACCATCCACATTGGGCACACATAACCGACCATGCCTCCGTAACACACCGTCATCCCAAATAGC